TAAATCCCAGAAAATGTTGTCTCCATTTTTACCCTCCCTTCCTCAATGGTTCTCAAAGAGTGGTCCCCAGAAGGTAGCATTATCATCACATAGGCACTTGATAGAGATGTAAACTTTTGGTCCTTACCCTATATGTAGTGAATCAGAAAATAATGAGTGGATCCCTGCAATCTATGTTTTAAGCCAATCAAGAGATTCTGATTCACAGTAAAATTAGAGAACCATTGCTCCATGTGAAGACAATTGCATTAGCTTTATTGAAAAACAGATTAACACACATGCATGTATTCATTTATAATAAATTTATATGTATTTAATATTAATTAGTGCATTAGTATTTTGTGGATCCTCCCTATCAAGTTTATACCAATTTTGTTTTGTCAAATATAACCACATTCCTATAGCTACCTTTAAAAGCAAACAAAGGAAAATTAAACAACAACAACAAAAAAGAGGAAAGCATTGAGAGAGAGAGAGTGAACAAAGACAAATAAAAGGGAAAAAAATCAACACAGCTAAACATTTTGTGAACTAACAAGCAGCAAGTGTAGATAAGATTCCCTGAGTCAGTCCTTTGTTGATCAGCCCCATTTCTCTACCTTCTGTCCCTAGCATTTATGTATGACAAAGCAGCACCAAGATATCACAGAATTTCAAACATTGGTACTCATTAAAAAATAAAAGTAATCAGTAAGCATACTAGAGTTTCCCAAGGGATTTTAATTACTAAACCCCAAAAGAGATGCAGGACAGCCACTTAAGTTGTAGTTAAGAACCAAACACTCACCATCCTGCCCACCCAAAAGAATGGGGTCTTATTTAGAATAAAATTTATCCTATGCTTGTACGATTTTATCAAAATGGATTCTACTGTCATGTATAACTAAGAAGAACCAATAAAATAAAATTTAAAAAAAAAAGAACCAACACTGAGAGCTCGCTTGTAGCCTTTGCATTCTTGCAATATAGTTTGAAACTAATTAATTTTGAGGAGCACTTTCCTTTTATGAATAATGAAAATAAGACCCCAAAGAAGAGATCTATTGTGGTCCACATGACTCAGGCTGAGATGTGAATCCAGGTCTTCTATCATCCAGTACTGAGTCTTCTCTATGAGACTGCACCCCTTCCACATTGGTGGGACCTCCATTTTTTCTTTCAGTAAATTTAATGACTCAGATACTAGGAAAAGATACACACATACACACACACACACACACACAAATATAGATAGATGCATAGATTTTTTTTTAATCAAGAATCTCAGTTACCTACCACTCCAGTAAAACTTCTGTTTAAAAAACTATTGTATCTTCTGATAAGAGTTTTCCTTATGCAAATAAGTATATGAACCAGTGATATTTGTGAAATTTCCTTTCTGAGTTTTTTTCTTAATATTATGTGTAGCAGGGCTCTGAGGTGCATGCCTGTGATCCTAGAGGCTTGGGAGCCTGAGGCAGAAGGATCACAAGTTAAAAGCCAGCTTCAACAACTTAAGAGGCCCCAAGCAACTTAGTGAAACCCTGTCTCAAAATAAAAAGGGCTGGGAATCTGGCTCAGTGGTCGAGCACCCTTGGGTTCAATCCCTGGTACCAAAAAAGGGGGGGGGGGGGGAAATATATATATATATATATATGTATACACACACACATACACACACATATATATAATATGTATCTGTATTTGCAAGTTTTTCATTTTTCTTCAAAAATCGAAGTTCCAATGGTTAAATGGAGTTGCTTCTTTGATTTCCATCATTAATTAGGTAACTAATCCTATAAAATTAAGATAAAAGTTGTTTCCAATATTTTATATTGACAAAGATTCAGTGATCAATACTATGCTCAAATCTTTGTACTTCTGTTATAATTTCTCTATAGTAAATTACCAAGAATAGAAACACTAAGTCAAAGACATGAGTAATTTCTTTTATTTTATTTTTTATTTTTTTTAACTTTTATTTATTTTATGTGGGGCTGAGGGTCGAACCCAGTGCCTCATGCATACGAGGCAAGTGTTCCACCACTGAGCCACAACCCCAGACCCTCTTTTTATTTTTTGGTATTGGGGATTGAACTCAGAGGCGCTTAACCACTGAGCCACATCCCAAGTCCTTTTCTATTTTTTATTTAGAGAGAGTCTCACTAAGTTGCTTTAGGGACTTGCTATGTTGCAGAGGCTGGTTTTGAACTTGCTATCCTCCTGCCTGGGTCTCCCAAGCCTCTGGAATTACAGGCTAGCAATGGCATGCCTGGCAAATATATGAATACTTTAAAACCTCAATACCTGAGTGCCTAATTGCCCTCTTAATCGGATGTATTACAATCAGTACAATGAGCACGTATTTAAACTTAATCTTGCCCCATTATTTTTCTATCTTTTCTTATTTGCTTTGCAAAATTTAGTGACTTTTAATGATTCTTTCATTAATCAAATTTAGAAAGCATTTCACAGTTAAGTATGCACTTACTTTACAACCTGGTAATCCTACTCTTATTAATTTACCCATGAGACATGATAATATGCACTTACAAAGACCTATCAAGTTCTGGAGTGGAAACAAATTAAATGTTCATCAGCTGATGAATAGATAAAAAAATTGGAGTTTACCCACATTATGGAAATTTTTCAGTAATCCAGTGTAACTTAACTCAAGATACAAAAACATATGAACTCAAAAGCAATGTACTACATGAAAAAATCCAGACACAAAGACACCTTCTGTATGCAGGATTCTATCTACATGAAATTCTAAAAAACATAATACTACAGTGACAGGAGGCAGGTCACTGGTGGCCTGTGGCCAAGTGAAAGACAAGGGGACCTACCAGAAAGTGTCTTGAGAATGCTTTCTTGGGTGACAGAGCTGTACTTTGGTGTGGCACTGGGATCATGACTATGCACTGTCACCAACACTCACCACTCTATACTTGGCTTGGATGAATTTATTGTGTGAAAATTACACCTCAGTGAAGCTGAGGGGGCATTCTGAGCTGTGTGTGGTCTAAAAATACTACTTGATTCTAGAGTCACAAAAGAAGCCAAATTAGATCTGCAAAATAAATAAATGAATATGTGAAGCTGAAAAAAACAGAAACAGAACCAAAAATAATTTTGTAATGCTTGAGAAAATTATCATACTGCAGGCTAGAAAAAAATCAAAACAAGCAAAGACTAAATGTTTAAGAAATTGTGGGACAAAATATCTTTACTTCGTGCCTATTTCCTTTCAGTTCTTGTGTGTATTCATACATATTCTATGTAAGTATAATTATAAGATATATATGAATTTAGATAGATAGATAGATAAAGATAGTTTTTATTTTGCTTTGTTTTTTGTGTGGCTAAACCTTGAACCCAGGGGTAGGCCTTGCTCTACCACTGAGCAATTATGCAGCCATGTACATTAATATCTTAAAACATTTCTGGATCACAAGCACTTGACTTTATGTGTATATTGTCCTCATGGTTATAATTTAAAATAGTTACATGTAATTGTTCAAAGCCAGAACTATTGGTGAAATTACCAAGTTTTAAAGCACATGAACCTCAATGTTAGGATGCCACCAAGTGGACAAATGATGTAAGGTTCAATTCAAGTGGATAAAACAGAAATGTTACATGTCATTTGAATTTTTAATTTAACACTTAAAATTAACTTTAAAACAGAGTAAGAAAGGAAAATTATACCATTTTATAAGTACACTAGGCCATGATTTTCATTTATTTCTTGAAGAAATTTAATTCTCAAATCAGAATTTAGAGAAATTCAGGAAAACAGCTGAGGTGTTTATAAACTAAAACCCTGGGAGTAAATGTTGACCTGGGTATACCTTGAGCCCCAGTGCAAAGAATAATATAAGGACCCCCAATTGTACACAGCCTTTGCTCTGAGTCAACCAAATGACTTCTAACAAAACAAGCAGCCCCCTCAGGAAGCTCTGTGGGGCAGACCCAGTGAAGACAGCCTGGAGGCAGAGGATAGCAGGCAGTCCACCTCCATTTGGGTGGGAACTTGCCAACTCTGTAGGAGCTACCAGTATTCTCTCCCCACAGTCCCTGGCCTCCCCCATTGCAAGCCTTAACCATTGCATTGGAACAGTAACTGGTTGGAGCCACACTCACAAGAAAACAAGACTTCAAGAGAGTGTTGGCCTGGGTCAGCAAAACAATAACTGTTTCCCAGGGAAGCTCTGGAATTACCCTGAGCCTTTGCTGCCACCAAGCGGGAGACCAGCACACACTCCATCCTGCTTGTGGCCCAACACTCCTCCCAATTATTTATTTTGGGATTTTTTTCCCCCACCCTGCTCCTTGCTCATTTAGAGCTCACAACCTCCACAGACTGAAAAGGGCCAGTTAAAAAAATCAAGCAAATGAGCAAGCAAAGGAGATTGCCATGAAAGTAGCTCTTAGAGTTCCCTTCCACACTCCTGAGTGTGTAAAGCAAGAAGGCCTTAGGGATGGAACTTGCCCTGCTGAAACAGGAGTTTCAGAGGCCAGGGCTTTATTGTGGAGAGTTAGGGAGCATGTATTCTACTGGCTGAAGTGTGCGTGCTCCTCTGTTTGTTTCAGCTTTAATTCTATTTCTTCACTGAAAACCCACTTCTGGTTTTAAAAATTCCAATGGCACAAAAGGAAGAACTGTAAAAAGTCTCCTTTAAACTGCTTCTGCTGGCTGACCAGAACCTCTCCCAGAGGCAACTACTCCATTTCTTGTGAGATTCTAGCATATATATTTTGTTCATAGGCCAAAAGTGACATCTGTCCATTCTCCCCATATATACCATCACCCCTGATTATTGGCAAACTACCACAACTGATGTTATATAATTAATAATACAATATTTTGTGGAATTCATGCCATGTTAGTACATTAATTTTTAAGTTTTATCATCCTCTATCACATGGGTGACCCCTAAGGTATTTAAGGAGTGTCTTATTAAAATGGACATTAGCTTGTTTCCAATCTTGTGCAGTTATCATCTTTATCTTCTTACCTAAAATTCTCAGGGCAAATTTGATTGCTGCTTCTACTGGATCTGAATCCACAACTTCATCCAGAATGCCCAGCTTAAGTGCTTCATCCGCCAAAATGTGTCTCCCTAAAACAAAACAAAATAAAGCAAATCAAAGAGTGATGTGAGATTAAAGTGAGAGCCCTGCTGTCTTCCCCAGATATAAACATCTGCTATTAAGAGAAAAGAACAAGGACCCTTGATGGCTGGAGTTGAAACATCATGCAGATGTAGCCAGAGACCTTGGATTCAGGGTGCAGCTCCACAGTTCCTGTTTTTGTGACCAGGAGGATGTGCACCAAGAACACAATTTCTTCACTGATCAATAGGAATAATTATGCTTATCTCAGTAATTCTGAGTATTATGTGAAAATCATATATTCTTTTCTCTTAATAGTCTCTAAATAACTATAGAAGCACTTTACAACCTACAAATCTCTATAGAAATATAGAAGATGGTGACTGTTGGATAAATTGATAGAAGTGGCAGCAGAACTACTATCTATCTTGTACCTACCACACACCAGGACTGGAGTTGATTTACAAAATAGTCACCAAACATACATGTAGTTGAGTAGATAGGGGGAAAAAAGTTCTGTATCAATTAAATTGATGTTAAATAGGTCTAATGAAAGTTACACAGGACAAATGGTATAGTATTCCAATAGTTATTGGCTACCAAGACTCTCCACCCTTCCTTGGTTTGTAGAATATATTTTATGTGGTTGGGAGCCCTGGCTCCTACTATGTAAGCTGAAAAGGAAGCAGAGCTGAGAGGTAATTGCTCTTCTAGTCCCAAGAAGCAATAGTGAAACAAGTGCTCTGTTGAGGGTCTGAGTCAGTCTGGTGTCCATGACACTAAGCAATAGCGACAATTTAAATCTCACCTCACAGGTGACAACACTGGGTGTCAGGAGTGGCGGTGCTAGCAACCTGCTGTGTTCAGGGTCATCTTGGCAGCCTCAGTATGGAAAAGGTCAAGGGCGTTACAGAAGTTTATCTGGGTTTGCATCACTAAAGATCTGTCCTGGCAGTTCTTTACCAGTTGTAAGAGGTCATCAGATGTGCATATTCTGAAGTAGGGGTTGTGGCCTTAAGCACAGGGCCAGTAAGGAGACAATGACAAAGCATTTGCGTACTTGCAACTTTGGAAAAGGGTTCATCAAATCAGTCTTGGTGGCAATAATTCCTGGGTCTTCCCTGTCCTTCATGTATTGGTAGATGCCGCCTCTACAACAAAAACCTCCATTCCTGGGTCCCCTGAGTTCTTCAGAGAGCTACAAATGGGTTTTCTTGACCACAGAGACAATTCAGTGATTTTCCAAGGGTCCTGCTAGAAAAGCAGTCTTAGGGCACTTTTCTGGAAGTGCCTTGAAAGCAGGCTTCCAGATCCTCTCCTGCAGTGCAGAGGGGGTGTGGAGTAGGTGAGTGATGTCAGGGGTCAAGTGTCCCATGTACACAGTCATTTTAGGTGAAGGTTAAGTAAATCAGCCTAACCAGGTTAGGGGCACTGAGGTGACATAAATGGAAGATGGAAACCTGGGTGCTAAAAGGATCTCTAGGACAGCAAAGCAGGGGAATGTGAGCCACCCACAAACAGAATGAAAAGCTCTTCATCTGTACTGATTTCTTCTGGCTTTAATTTCATGAAAAAGAGAGTACCACTGCCGTTCTTCCAGTGACAATCACATTCCAAGCATGCTTATTCTGTTTCAAAGAACAAATGTAACAGTGGTCCACTTTATGCTTTGAATATAGCCCTTGCTGCTCTGCCACTGCAGTTTACTTTTATTTTATTAATTTTTTTTAGTTGTTGATAGACATTTATTTTATTTATTTATATGTGGTACTGAGAATTGAACCCAGTGCCTCACACATGCTAGGCAAGTGCACTAGCACTGAGCCCCAGCCCCAGACCTACAGTTTATTTTTATAATGGACTGTTCTTTTTCTTCCTCTCTCCCTGCTCCTCCCTAATCTCTCCCTATCCCTACTCTCAGGAGGAACAGGATTACTATTCTTCCCCTATTTTAAGCAGATTTATCTTCTCTGGATAGGAAAAACCAATGCAGACTTTGGGGATGGTACCAGAAGATACAGAAATAACTGATATCTCCCAAATTAACAAGTGAAATTACAGCTTCAACAGAGAACATGTGGAATGTAGCCTTTGAGTCACCTCTTTAAAAGCCCCCTATTCCTGCAGATGGGCAGAATCACAGCCTTTCAGGCAGGAGTCCCCTGTGTTTCTCCTTTGCTAGCAAAGCAATAAACATTTTTTCCTTTTTCTCAAAACTGTGTCCTCGTTATTGGATTGGCATTAGGGACAAGGACCAAGCTTTCAGCAACACTAAGGACTTAAGATGTGCAAATCAAATCCTTGGGCTGTGCTTTAAACTTGTTTTTCCTAGGGCAGCCCTCAGTGTAGATTGAAAGGACACCCACAGAGTCCATGCAAAGTCCAGAGATCACACCACACGCTGGAATCTCCTGCAAGAGATTTATTGTCAGTAGCATGAGGCAAACCGACAAGGCTGTCCCTTTGAGGAGAGCAGCAGTGTGTTAGCCCTCACAGACCAGCTTTATAGCTCACAGAGGAATTTCATAAGCTGCTTGGGAGTTGTGTTGTAAACCGAGGTGGGGCTGATCATTTAGCAGGCACATATTCTATGGGAAGTTAAGCAGCATTGCCTTAGAATCGAAACTTCGGAGCCTCTAGATAAAATGGCTCCCGGCCTAAAATGGCAAATCTGATGCCAATATAGTTAACAACCCTTGTCCAACAGGCTCCAAGAAGAGCTCTGTGTAGGTCAATGTCAGGAGATCCCAAGGCAACTGAGTTAGAAAACATTCTCTTCAAGCCAGAGAATCTCAAATTTTTCCTGTTTTCTTCATCACTTCTTTTCCAAACTTTACTTTTTTTTTTCTTCATGGAAACGTCCCAGATGTCATTCATAAGTTTCCCTGAAATTATACAGTCTACTCAAAAAGACAGGTGTATGATTCTAATGGTAGCTTTCTTTTAATTCACTGTGACCTTTTCTATGCAAATCAAAAAATCTGTCACCTTCTTGCTGTTTTTACTTGTTCTTCATCATGTTAAATATGGTGGCATTTCTTGAAGCGGTGCTTTAAGAATAGAACAATTCTAGTTTGCTTCATTTCTTCTTATCAAAGAAGCCAGTTTTTTTCCTGATTTTCCCTAAGATACTATCATCTTTCAGACCAATTACTGAAAACAGGGTCACAAAATTCTTCAATGTTCCCCTATATGCTTAATTCAGTAAACTTTAGGATTTACAGACTCATTTCACACCATTGCAACTCTTGATATATTTCATGCTGCTTTGTTTCCTTTCTGTTTTGTCTTTTGCACAATAAACTCTGTCATGGGCTGTGAATTTCTCTAGTATGTTGGATTTGAGCATCCTCTAAAGAATTCTAAATCAGACACTTAAAAATGACTCACATTATTTAAAATGTACTTATCATTGTAAATTAAAACAATTTTCACTAGATTTTTAAAATAAACTTAATACTTCAGTTTTTGTAAGTTTCCTCGAATAGTCTATAGGACTTATAACACCACCTCATCTAAAACAACAAAGCTATTTTAATGCATACAGAATCACATTATTGTTGATATTGTCTCATATGCAGTTTCATATCACAGTCTCTGTCAAAACATACAGATATCTTTTAGCAATTCTCAAACACTGCAGACTTAGAACCCCTGTGCATTCTTATATATTATAAAGAATTCCAAAAGAATATATTATATAGAATTCCAATTAGAATATATTATAAAGAATTATAAAGAATTCCAAAATCCTATTGTTTATATAGGTTATATCTATCAATATTTACTGTATTAGGAATTAAAATTGAGAATTTTAAAAAATGTTTCTATATTAAATAATTTTAAAATAATAGTGATAAATTCATTATAGTTTAACATATCCTTAGGCAAAATAAATAATTTTTTTAAATTGCTCTTTTTTCTCATACATTCTTCAGGGTCAGTCTAACTAACTAACTAAGATTTTCATCTTAATTTTACTCAGAAAACAGACATATATGAATAACAGTAAATAGCTAAGTTCTGTCATATCTAGGAGGGTTCTAAGCACACTGTATGTATTAACCTACCTAGTGTTCACCACCATATCACCCCTACTATTAAATGCATGTTTGAGAAATCTAAAGAAAAGAAAGATAAATTACCTAACATAGGATCTCATAATTAATTATACTTGTTTAGAGTAAATTCAGGTTTGTCTTACAAACCTGAATATTTGGTAAATCTAGAAGGGGATGGACAGTTACTGCTAAAGGATACTAAGTTTCTTTTTTGTGCTGATTTAGTGTTATATTATTCATAATCCCTATGTAAAAAGAAAAATTTCCATTTGTAGCTAATATCTTAATACTCGAGAAATGAAAATTTGTTATTTGTAAAGGAAAAGTTGAAACTTGGCCTTGAAAATTTTGATTTTCAATCTTTTCTTTAAAAAAAACTTATCGTGAATTTTTTTATACTTTTATTTTATTTACTGATTTTTATGTGATGCCTCACACATGCTGGGCAAGTGCTCTACCACTGAGCCACAACCCCAGCCCTTTGAATCTTATTATTATTAAGATTTCTAAACCAGATCTGAATATAATGTTCCCTATGTGAACAGCAATAATTCAACAAACTATAATACAACTCTAAATTTGATTAGTGCTTTACATACACTTTCCTTCCATGATTTGCACATGGGATCAATATAGTAACATTTGAGAAGCTGTCAAGAGAAATATTGTTTCCATTTTATAGATGAGAAAATTTGGAGACAAAGTTAAACTGGCCCCTTTAAGGTTAGTGGCCAGGCCAGGATTTTCCTAAATGCTGGTCCAGTTCCTCAGGTTGGTCTAGACAGTCACAGGCAAGGTTTACACTGACCTGATGTAATTAAGTCAAGTGCAGCAGGAATTCCAATGAGTCTGGGGAGAAGCTGGGTTCCTCTCGCACCAGGAAGAATTCCTAGTGTGACTTCTGGGAAGCCAACATGAGCCTGTCAGATTGAAGGTATAAAGGCCAACAATGAGGTAATACATTTATATCTAAGATGAACAATCCCTGGATTTCCTATACCCTCAAAAACATTGTTTCATTGGATTCAGCAAGAATTTCCACCGGGCAAACTAGTATATAGGCTCTCCTTTAATTAACAGCATAACCAGAGCTGTTCTAAGTCTTCATGCTTAAACATACTTCTAGCTCTGGCACATTTTTTTGAATCAATTATGACCTGTCTCAGACAACAAAATTTTAATATCCTTCAGGAAAAGCTTTCTGGGAACTTGCAAGAGCCAGGAAGCATAGGTAAAGGAAAAGGAAACTCACAGAATGGGAGAGAGTATTGGCAGATTATAGATCTGATATAGGACTTGTATCCAGAATACACAAAGAACTTTCATAACTCCAAATAAAAAGACAATCAATTAAAACTGGACAAAGGATCTCTCTAAAGAAGGGATAAAATGCCCCAATCAACACATGAAAAGATGCTCAATATCACTAACTATCAGGGAAATGCAAACCTAAAGCACAAAACGAGATACAACTTGACACCCATTAGAATGAATACAAGAAAAAAGGCAGACAATGTGGAGAAGACAGAACACTCATACATGGATGACAAAAAGGTAAAATGTGCAGAAATTTTGGAAAACAATTTGGCAATTTCTCAAAAGTTAAACGTGGATTTATCATGTGACCCAGCAAGGTCACGTAGTATAAATCCAAGGGCAATGAACACATAAGCCCACAAAAATCTCTTATGCGTGTTTTCAAAGCATCATTGTTCATAAAAAAAAAAAAAAAATAGAAGCAACTGAAACATCCTTTAACTGATAAATGGATAAATAAAATGTGGTATAGCCATACAACAGAATATTATTCAATACTAGAGAGGAACAATGAACTGATTCATGCCACCATATGGATGAACCATAAAAGCATTATGCTAAATGAAAGAAACCAGTCATGAAAGACCACATATTGTATGAACTCATTTATATCAACTACCCAGAATAGGCAGAAAGGCAAAATTAACACCTTCCCAGGTAAATAAAAACTGAATTCATTGCTAGCAGTCCAGTCCTACAACAAATCCTTTCAGCTGGTATGAAAGGATACTTGAGAGTAACTAGAATTTACATGAAAAAACAAAGGACTCTGGTAAAGCACAGCTATGTAGATAAACATAAAAGACAGTGCTAACATTTCCTTGTTAGCAATCCATTTTTTTAAATATTTTTTTAGTTGTCAATGGTTTTTTAAAAAATTTTATTTACATATATGTGGTGCTGAGGATTGAACCCAGGGCCTCATGTACGCCAGGCAAGCACACTACCACTGAGCCAGAATTCCACCCCCTGCAATCCATTTTTATCATCACATTTAAAAGACCACTACAAAAACAATAAGCATAAACATACTGATGAGCATCCAATGTATAAACTTATAATTTGGGACAGTAACTGCATAAAGGGGTGGGTAACAGCTATAGTGGAGAAAATGTTTACATACTATTGAAAATAAATTAATATAAATCTGAGCTAGACTTTTATAAATTGGGATATTAATTACAATCACTAAGGCCATCACCACTAAGAAAATAACTCAAAAGAATACATTAAAAGATATCAGAGGACAATTAACCGGGCACACTAGAAAAATACCTGTTAATCACAAGTGAAAGTATCAACCAAGGAACTAAGGAACAAAGACATAAAATGCAGAAAACAAAGAGAAAAATGTCAGAAGTTAATTTTTCCATATCAGTAAATATAGTAAATGTAAGCATATATTAAACTCTTTAATTTAGGGCTGGGGATGTGGCTCAAGCAGTAGCGCGCTCGCCTGGCATGCGTGCGGCTCGGGTTTGATCCTCAGCACCACATACAACCAAAGATGTTGTGTCCGCCGAAAACTAAAAAATAAATATATTAAAAAAATTCTCTCTCTCTCTCAAAAAAATAAATAAATAAAATAAACTCTTTAATTTAAAGGTAGAGATGGAACAAGGGATATGGCTCAGTGGTAGAGCACCTTCCTAGGAACGCTTAGGACCTGGGTTCATCCCCTGTAATGTGTGTGCATGCACACACATACATACATACATACACATGCACACACAAACCCAACCCCTCAAATAAAAACAGAAAACAAGGCAAGATAAAGAATGTTTAATAACGAAATAAATATGATATCAATATATTTGTAAGAGAGTATAAACCACATATAATAAAATCCCGATGTTATTTTTTTAGTAACAAGGGAGGGTGGACTATAAAAAACATTACATAGGGAAAAAGCCTGTAGGAAGTACAAAAGAATGGAGGTTCCCTTTAGTTAGTGAATCCTGGAGAGGTTAAGGGAAGCAAAGAGACAGAAGGCTCAGAGCAGCAGCTATTTACCAACCAGAATGCAAGTATTTCAGCCCCCAAACAATAGCTGAACCCCTACAGGACAGCTCAGCACCAGTGCTGGAGATACCCAGGACTTGTTAACCAGAGAGCTAACCATTCAAAGTGCCCACTTCTGATGCTCATGGCTACAGTTAGAACTTGCTCGGAAGAAAAGCTCCACACCAACCTCCACATGGAGGCTTAGCTGTTACCTTTGCGTGAGCAATCCTATAGTGAGAGCCCAAGGCCAGCTCCAGTCCCCCTCCTAAGGCCACACTTTGGATAGCAGCTACCACTGGCTTCTGGTATCTCTGTATTTCATCTACTAAACTTCCCAAATCAACGCCAGAGAATCCAGGAGTGCTGAAGCTGCGGATATCCACACCTACAGGACATAAAGACAAGGAGAAAAGATGGCTGAGAAGGATACATGTTTCTGTTATTAATATGTAGGGACCTGATCACCTTGAGATCTCTTTGGGCCCAGGAGACACTTTGTCCTCAGGCTGGAGACACATGAAACAAGTAGTTTGAGAGATGTAGAACAAAATGAGATCTTTAAATATCTACCATGAACCCTGTAACATTCTAAGATCTGTCTTTCCATATACTACCTAGCAATTCTAGCTCTAGGCAAATTTAAAATATCAGAGAAGGAACACAGGGGTCTCCACCCAAGACCATCATTCTGAGACTGAGTTGGCCTCTGGTTTTTTGCATTATCTGTTTATCAACCTTATTCACAGAAATTTAGTCTCTTATCTTTGCTAATATCATGAGCCATAATACAAAATGTCAGGGTAAAATGTATACATATTTGTGAGCTGTGTTAATCAACTGGCTTAGAATTATACCTTGATAAATTTTTTTTATGATTGGTGAAAATAACAATATTTCTTGCTTTTCCTGATTATAAAAATAACACATGCATTTTGGGAAGTTGAAAAATGTACAAAATTATAAAGAACATATGGATCACCCTAAATATCACCACACAGAAATAATAATTTAAGACTTGGCAAATTCTTAGTCTTTTCCCTATGCATACATGTAATTGGTTTTATGACATTAAGTAAGTTATTGAATCTTTTGTCTCATGACCTATCTTAAATGACTGATGTGAGAATTAAGTAAAGTTTGATAAATATATTTAATATTGAAAGAATACTGTAAAATCTTAAAAAATATCATAAACTCTTTTTATATAATTTTTTAATTTATATATGACAGCAGAAAGCATTACAATTCATATACATATATAGAGCATAATTTTTCCTGGTTGTATACATAGTATATTCACACCAATTTGTGTCTTCATACCTGTACTTTGGATAGTAATGATCATCACATTCCACCATCATTTCTAATCCCATGCCCCCTCCCTTCCCCTCCAACCCCTCTGTCCTATCTAGAGTTTGTCTATTCCTCCCATGCTCCCACTCCCTACCCCACTATGAATCAGCCTCCTTATATCAGATAAACATCCATTTACCTGCAAATGCCATGATTTTATTCTCTTTTATTGGTGAGTAATATTCCATTGTGTATAAATGCCACATTTTTTAATCCATTCATCTACTGAAGGGCATCTAGGTTGGTTCCATAATTTAGCTACTGTGAATTGTGCTGCTATAAACATTGATGTGGCTGTGTCCCTGTACTATGCTGTTTTTAAGTCCTTTGGGTATAGACCAAGGAGAGGGATAGCTGGGTCAAATGGTGGTTCCATTCCCAATTTTCCAAGAAATCTCCATATTGCTTTCTATCTTGGCTGCACCAATTTGCAATCCCACCAGCAGTGTATGAGTGTACATTTTTCCCTACATCCTTGCCAGCACTTATTGTTGTTTGTCTTCATAATAGCTGCCATTCTGATTGGAGTGAGATGAAATCTTAAGAGTAGTTTTGATTTGCATTTCTCTAATTGCTAGAGATGTTGAACTTTTTTATATATTTGTTAATTGATTGCATATCATCTTCTGAGAAGTGTCTGTTCAGGTCTTTGGCCCATTTATTGATTGGGTTATTTTGTGTGTGTGTGTTTAGTTTTTTTAGTTCTTTATATACCTCAGAGATTAATGCTCTATCTGATGTGTGAGAGGTAAAAATTGGCTCCCAAGATGTAGGCTCTCTAATTACTTCACAGATTGTTTCTTTTGCTGAGAAGAAACTTTTTTTGTTTGAATCCACCCCATTCATTGATTCTTGATTTAATTCTTGCACTATAAGAGTCTTATTAAGGAAGTTGGGGCCTAATCCCTCATGATGGAGATTAGGGTCTACTTTTTCTTTTATTAGACGCAGGGTTCCCTGGTTTTATTCCTAGGTTCTTGATCCATTTTGAATTGAGTTTTGTGCATGGTGAGAGAGAGGGGTTTAGTTTCATTTTGTTGCATACGGATTTCTTTTTTCTTTTTGGTGCTGGAGTGTAAACCCAAGGCCTGGAGAACATGAAACACAAGCTCTATCACTGGCTATACCTAAGCCTAAGACAAACTTTGATGATCCAGGCCTTCCTTGCTCAGTATTTTTTTTTTTTTTTTTTAGTATTGGAGATGGAACCCAAGGATACAATACCATTGAGTTAAACCCCTACCCCTTTTTATCTTTTACCTTGAGGCAGCGTCTCACTAATTTGCTAAGACTGGTATCGAACTTGCCATCCTCCTGCCTTAGCCTCTCAAGTACTTAGGACCTGCTTAATTTTTGTACATGTATTTAAGAAAAACGCATATTTTCCAATGTTTGAGTACACTATACTAGACCTGTCCATTATGTTAACTTTGAGAATTTCTAATGTTCTTCTAGAAGAATAATTTTTTCTGCTCACAAATTCTAATTACTTTCTGTATTTTCCACCTCTTTCTCTTTTTTTAATATTTATTTTTTAGTTGTAGTTGGACACAATACCTTTATTTTATTGATTTATATGTGCTGCTGAGGATCGAACCCAGGGCCCGGCACATGTTAAGCAAATGCTCTATCACTGAGCCACAACCCCAGCCCCTTCCACCTCTTTCTTACAATAAAATATAAAGTTCTCATAATTCTGATCTCACTTTTTGTGCCCCAAAGTCATCATGTTAGCTGCCCATCAGGTATAAGTGTCCAGGGCTGGAGGCATAGCTCAGTGGTAGAGTGCTTTACCCAGCACGTGTGAGGCACTGGGTTCAACCCTCAGCACCACCAAAATAAATAAATAAATAAATAAATAAAAAGAAGATAAAAATAGTTTAGGTATACAGTGAGTAAGCCATTTCATAGCTGGTCAATTCTCACCTCACCCTTCTCATCTGTAAATGGGGAATGTAGGATTTACTCAGCTTAAAATATAACATGTAAACACTACTACTATCTTCATTATAATTAATAAATAACTTACATAGCCCTAGTAGGAAAAATTCACCAAACCTTAATATCCATGTGCCTTTTGTCAAAGAATTCCATACATACATTGGGGAAAAAAGGAAGAGGTACTATATCATTAAATAAATCACCACTTCAGATATTATTGCCACATCTGAGCATCTTCAGACAATGACCCAATAAAGCAGTGCCACAGGCACTGAGGTGGGTGCCCACCAGAAGGAAAAAGAACTTCATTTCAAGACTATGTATGAACAGTAACCCTTGCTGATCACCTTCTGTGTGTAGATGCTGCATGAAGAGAGTTCAGAGAAGGCATCTCACTGAACCTCTCAAACACCCCTAACATAGACATTACTGTCCCTACTTCATAGATAGAGAAGTTGATGTTCAGGAGATTATGGAGATATGGTGGAGATGTGCAAAGCCAGTATATGCATCAGCATGTGTATAGCAGCAGGTATCACGGCCATCAAGCCTGAACTAAATGTTCACCAAAGTCTCAACTCAATAAAAAAGAGACAAAGCCAGAGTCTTCTCTGGGTCTCACTTGGGACCTGTCCCTTTCTCCACAGTGTTTCTCAGTCCCACTCTAGTCTCCTGTATCTACAACCCACATTACTTTATTACTCGTATTATTACCTAGAGGGACAGCTAATGCAGTGTGGATCTCAGTCTGTGACTAGATTCTATAGATAATGGGAGAGTGTCAGACAAATGTTACCTGCACTGAATATTCCATTTTCTCCAGATATCACAATGGCTTTTACTGTATGGTCGGATATGGCTTTCTTTAGTCCCTCTTTTATTCCATTGAGTACAGCCAAACTAAAAGAAAAAAATTTACATGATGCATATTATTCATAATTAAAGTTCTGCCATCTCAGAGTTTTTCCTTTCTTAATCCTAAAAAATTAATCACATGCACATTGTATAAAAGCCATAGAAACTTACCATTAAGGCTTTCACTAATTTTTTCATCATACAGTATGTCTACTGTGAATTAAGCAGTGAGAGAATTAAATGAGTCCCCTTGAAGAGTAATATTATTTTCTTCCACTCTGCTCTAATGTTAACCACTTAGAATCAGCACTAACCAATTTTAATATATTCTTACACTTAATATAGAAAAATGCAAGGGATTACCTGATAAACCTATACAACTATCATGTAAAGTGCAGTAAGGTAAGTGCTACACTAAAAGTACAAAGAAAGTGATGGGGGTGCTGCAATTGTGGCTCAGTGGTAGAGCACTTGCCTAGCATAAGTGAGGCACTGGGTTCAATTCTCAGCACTGTATATAAATAAATAAAATAAAGTCCATTGACAACAAACAAATATTAAAAAAAAAAAGTGGTGGGGAAGTTCAAAGGCAAGCACGTTACTTTTAATTTGCCATGCTGACAGAAACAGAAGGAAAATAGCAGAGAAATGGCCCAGGAGATGTGGCAGAAGCTGCTAGTTACCTCAGCTACCCATTCCTCCAGATTATGAAAATGCCTACATTTTAAGAGATTACATGATATCCCCCAAAAAGACTACATTTTCCACCCTGCTTTAAGTAAGTTCTGCTCAAGGCTTTAAGTTCTGGTCAATTAGATGGAATCATATTTATGCGATTTTGGGGAAGAGTTCCTAAAGGACTGGGTATGCTTTCCTCTTTTTTTCTTCCCTCCCTTTTCTTGACAGGAAGGCAGATGTGATAGCTAGATGAGAAGCAGCCTTATTGGACCAACAGGTAGAAGTCAAGTATTGAGGATAACAGAGCAAAAGAGAGAATTGGGGGGATGAATGTTCGTGGAGTATCAATACCATTCCAGGATACTGCTGTGAGAGAAAATTTTCGCTTGTTTAATTCATTATTACTATCAGTTTTCTACCACTAAAATTTGATCTAATCGTAGATAATTTAAGGTATAAAGGCAATGTGAGGGCATGTATAGCAAAATTTGCCAAATTTCGGTATATGAGGAAGTCATCCAGAGAAGACAGATAAAGCCAAGACTGGATGAGTCCACTAAATGAAAAGCAATGTAAACTGAGGGCAAATTCTCTGGATATGTCTTCATTTAAGACACAGGGGGTCCTAGCACAGTGATCCAGCACCAATGAAACATAAGTCATAAAAATCAAGGAGAGGAAAATTTCCATAAATCACATGATTAATAGGGCCAAGAGATCTAGCAAGGGAGAACTACAAAACATAGTAAAAAACTGCCTAAAAAAATGATAGAAGCAGACCATAATCAGTTTTGCCTTAAAATTCTCAGTATTTTGGGTAATCTCTGTATACAGAGAGAAAACAATCTTAAAACAAACAACAAACCTCTGTAAACCCCTTATTGTTAAAACCAGCAACTATGAGTTAAAACTTCAGAGCATAAAAGAGATACTTGCTCTCTTATAAGATAATTATCTTCTACTTCCTTAATTTTCACCTCTTAACCTAGATGAAGTCAAATAATACCACTTGCTTTCCACCAGTTAATTAAAAGTCAAATCTGACTATGAAAACAGATACTACACCATTATGTAATATTGAAAAATCCATAAGGCATATGCATGCAATTCTCTTGGTATGTATGGAAAACTGGTACCAAGAATTACCCACCACCAACCTAGATGCCCTTCAATAGACGAATGGATAAAAAAAATGTGGCATTTATACACAATGGAGTATTACTCTGCATTAAAAAATGACAAAATCATAGAATTTACAGGGAAATGGATGGCATTAGAGCAGATTATGCTAAGTGAAGCTAGCCAATCCCTAAAAAACAAATGCCAAATGTCTTCTTTGATATAAGGAAAGTAACTAAGAACAGAGTAGGGACGAAGAACAGGAGAAGAAGATTAACATTTAACAGGGATGAGAGGTGGGAGGGAAAGGGAGAGAGAAGGTAAATTGCACGGTAATGGAAGGAGACCCTCAGGGTTATACAGTGGAGGGGGTAGAGAGAGAGGAGGGGAGGGGAGGGGAGAGGTGGGGAGGGGGGAGGGTGGAGGATGGGAAAGGCAGCGGAGCACAACAGACACTAGTATGACAATTTGTAAATCAATGGATGTGTAACTGATGTGAATCTGCAATCTGTGTATGGGGTGAAGGTGGGAGTTCATAACCCACTAGAATCAAAGTGTGGAATATGATATGTCAAGAAATTTGTAATGTTTTGAACAACCCACAATAAAAAATTAAAAAAAAAAAAAGAATTACCCACCCCAACTAGAATACCAAATTTCTCATATGCTTAGTCCCTTATATAAAATAATGGTAGGATTTGTACATAACCTACTCATCTCTAGACTACTTAGTATACCCAACAAAATGTAAATGCTTTGTAAATACATATTACACCACATTGTTCAGGAAATAATGACAAGAAGAAAAAGACTACATATTTATTAGAGACTCAACCATCATGTACCAAAAGACATTTTCTATCCACAGTTGAATGGCAGGGGATATAGAGAGCTGACTGTATTTTCTTCTGGGTTAAAGGATGACCACAAAATGAGCCAAAATTATCTTCATCATGGTCACTGAGGAAAGAAGACTAGCTTTTCTCATTCCAATCAAGCCTTCCTGTTTTATTTATGTTCTTGTTAATTTTGAAAAACTCAAAAAACAGGGGGAGGGGCTAGGACTATGGTTCAGTGGTAGTACACTTGACTGGCATATATGAAGCACTGGGTTCTATTCTCAGCACCATATATAAATAAATTAAATAAAGGTCTATCAACAACTAAAAAATATATTTAAAAAGGGGGGTGGGGGTGGTGATAAAAAAGGAAAATGGCTGTAACAGTTTTACTAGATTCTGCTGACTGACAGGGACCACAGCTTCCCCGTAAGGTAAAGGTCACATGGGCTAAGAAAGTATTTTCCCCATCTTAACACAGCCAGGTGTGGAGCATGGAGTGTGGGGGAAGATGACATTCCTGAGTGCTGACCACGAGGCTTCAAGTTCTTTGTCAGAGCAGGTCTTGGCCTTTTCTCACACCTCTCCCTCCCTCTCTCTCTCTCTTTTTGTTTGTTTGTTTGTTTGTTTTTCCAAAGTTCATCAAATCAATTAGTGGCTTGTTACCAGCTTTTTTTTTTTCCTTTTCTTTTCTTTTTCCTTTCTTTTTTTTTAATATTTATTTTTTAGGTGTAGATGGACACAACACAATGCCTTTATTTTTATGTGGTGCTGAGGATCGAACCTGGGTCCTGCCCATGCTAGGTGAACGCTCTACCACTGAGCCACAATCCCAGCCCCCCTTTCTTTTTTTTAAGAAAGAAAATAGAATTTCCCCAATTATATACTATGAAAGGATAGGACTAGTTTCAGGAAACTTTCTTTTCTGTTTTGCATGTGCAGGCAGGTATGCATATCTTGAGTCCTGTACAACGTGAGATTTCTTACAGCCATTGTTCTGGGTAAATTTTGGGTCATCTCTGTTCTCTGTAATGAATAGGCCTAGGATTTAGGCACATCCTACACTCAATGAATGGGGCTGACACCAAAATAAGGAAACATGGCTGGCTAAATTAGAAATTATAGATTTAAATTGAGCAAAAACAAATTATTATTCAAATAAGAATCTCTCAGTGAGCCTAGAAGAAAAAACTTTCAAAAAGAAAAAAAAAAGGACCTGTTAAACTTGGTGAACACCAGCATGTGTACCCCAACTAAAATAAAAGGTCAGAGAAAGATAAATGAATAAGGACAGGAAAGGATCTGTTCCCAAGTGGAGTAATTCTTGATAAAGCAGAAGTGGATCCTGGGCATCAGGTCTGCTGATAAGGGCTTGTAACAAGCCTTCTCACTAACAGGAAGTTTAAAACCTTCATATCATTTAATCCTCACGACTATGTATTTTTTTATTTTTTGTGATTGAATCCAGGGGTGCTCTACCAGTGAGCTGCAACCTCACTAATTTTTTAATTTTGTTTTGAGACAAGGTCTCACTAAGTTGTTGAGGTTAGCCTCAAACTTGCAAGCCTCCTACCTTAGCCTCCCAAGTAACTGAAACTACAGGCATGAATACTATGCCTGGCTCCACACAACAACTTTGTGAGGTAAGTATATACATTACTCCTGGGTGGGTAGAGGGGCTATCAGGTTAAATGCCAGAAATATATCAAGCAGTTTTCACAAAACATTGCTAGTTATGAGTATTAGGCTATGAAACCTTTTTTTCCCCCTAAGTTCTTGATGGGAATAGCTGTCCATTATGAGCAGAAACTCCAGTAGCAGCAGAATCCTAATATTTAATAATCCAATCAGTGCACAGTCCAAAGGGCTATGGAATCATATTACTTACATGTTTGTCAAAACCAACATAATGGATATTTTACATTTTTATGGGAATGACAATTACAGATTTGTGATTTAATTTCTTCTCTTTTTGTATAATTAACCTACCTTCACATAAGAAGGGTAATATTAAAACTAAGACTGAAAGTCCAATACAACGACAATAGGATAAAAGCTCAGTTAAAATTATCAGGTCTCTTTTCATCTCTATTTGCTCCCGCAACACATAATGAGAATTTCATCAAAGACCTTTCTATCTATTCATTATATTCTTTGTAAATTATAATTTTCACTAATCTGACTCTCAGAGGATGGGTGGCTTTATTCAGAGATCTAGAAGAACCACACCAAATGAACTTCATCAATTTTCAAACTGGGAGTTTTGGTCTTACTTTTAAAGTAACGCTCTACATGCACTGCAGAAATAAATTAAATTAAATTAAAGAAGTTAAAATGTAATTTTTCAGAAAATGCTACATAGTGGTTACTCGGAATAGATCCTCTAAGGAAGCTCTCTGGCCCTGAGGTTTAGAACAGATCAAGAGAAATAATTTAGTGTTTTCTACCCAGACAAATCTCCTTTACTCACTGTGTTGGCATTCACTGGGTCTTACTTTATTTTATGTGTCTTTCTATTTTCTGTTGGGCCAGGGATGAACCGGGGCCTCACGCATAGTTAGGCAAGTCTCTACCACAGAGCAAGTCCCCCATCCCTTTTACTTTATCTAGCCCCTTTACTGTAGGACACCTGGAGCTTTGGATCATGGTCCTGCACTAACCCAAGAACTTTGCAACTGAAAGTTTGAGAAGTAGATGTTGCAAGCAAGCAGAAAGGTTTAGCACGCCCCTCTCCACCGCTCAGTTCCATCACTCGCAGTTTCCTCCACCCGGCTTACCTGGTCAAGCATAACCCAGCCAACTTCGGTTAAAAGACCCTGTTGGTTCCATTCCCAGCTTTCCCAGGAATCTCCATACTGCTTTCCAGATTGGCCGCACCAGTTTGCAGTCCCACCAGCAATGTACAAGAGTACCCTTTTCCCCACATCCTCTCCAGCACTTGTTGTTGTTTGACTTCATAATGGCTGCCAATCTTACTGGAGTGAGATGGTATCTTAGGGTGGTTTTGATTTGCATTTCTCTGACTGCTAGAGATGGTGAGCATTTTTTCATGTACTTGTTGATTGATTGTATGTCCTCCTCTGAGAAGTGTCTGTTCAGGTCTTTGGCCCATTTGTTGATTGGGTTATTTGTTTTCTTATTGTTTAATTTTTTGAGTTCTTTGTATACTCTGGATATTAGGGCTCTATCTGAAGTGTGAGGAGTAAAAATTTGTTCCCATGATGTAGGCTCCCTATTTACCTCTTTTATTGTTTCTCTTGCTGAGAGAAAACTTTTCAGTTTAAGTAAGTCCCATTTGTTGATTTATTTGACCCAGCTATTGCCCTTCTTGGACTTTTCCCTGAAGACCTTAAAAGAGCGTACTACAGGGATACTGCTACATCGATGTTCATAGCAGCACAATTCACAATTGCTAGACTGTGGAACCAACCCAGATGCCCTTCAATAGATGAATGGATAAAAAAAAATGTGGCATTTATACACCATGGAGTATTACGCAGCACTAAAAAATGACAAAATCATAGAATTTGCAGGGAAATGGATGGCACTAGAGCAGATTATGCTTAGTGAAGCTAGCCAATCCCTAAAAAACAAATACCAAATGTCTTCTTTGATATAATGAGAGCAACTAAGAACAGAGCAGGGAGGAAGAGCAGGAAGAAAAGATTAACATTAAACAGATACATGAGGTGGGATGGAAAGGGAGAGAAAAGGGAAATTGCATGGTAATGGAGGGAGACCCTCATTGTTATACAAAATTACATATAAGAGGTTGTGAGGGGAATGGGAAAATAAACAAGGAGAGATATGAATTACAGTGGATGGGGTAGAGAGAGAAGATGGGAGGGGAGGGAGGGGGGATGGTAGAGGATAGGAAAGGTAGCAGAATACAACAGTTACTAATAGGGCATTATGTAAAAATGTGGATGTGTAACCGATGTGATTCTGCAAGCTGTATTTGGGGTAAAATTGGGAGTTCATAACCAACTTGAATCTAATGTATGAAATATGATATTTCAAGAGCTTTATAATGTTTTGAACAACCAATAAAAAAAAAAATTAAAAAAATAAATAAATAAAAGACCCTGTTGTGAGCCATGGCCCCTACTGTTAGTGTCTTCAGTTTCAACCAGCAGGGAGAGTCAAAGGTTGCAGACCCACAGACCAGCGACGCCCGTTACCTGATCGCGTTGACCGGCGGGTTTCGGAGGCGGATCAGCGCCAGGGAGTGGGGCAGTCGCAAGTACTCAGCCATTTCCCTGCGTTGCCTACGTTGCTAGTGCCTCCCGCCCCAAGGCACGGCCAGTTGTGCAGGCGTGCCCGGGCTCCGCCTCCCGCCGCCCCACGGCCTCCTCCAGTCAGCAGTCCAGCTCGCACCGGCAACTCCTTCCCGGGACACCCTACCATCACCACGCCCCAGCTCTGGCAACGCTCCTGGCCTTGTTTTCTTCGCTGGCTCCTGTCCTGTGGAAGGCGGAATTACCATTCGCTTCGCAAATCCCTAGCGCAGAAGCGAGGGCTCCTCCGTCCAAGTTCTAGCGCTTGGATTTGGCCAAGCAATCCTCATCCCAGTATCCATCCTCACAATCCTGATGTGTTGGGATAGGTACCAGGTAGCTGGCGCCCTGACAGTTATGTGAAACAGTGCACACTGGAATTGAGGTAACACACACATTGTGCATGTAACCCACATGAAGAATGGTACTAATATCTGCTAAGTATTTACAAAAATCATCTTCCCTGTCTTACCGAGCAACCTAGCAACGCATTATGTATGAGCTCTTTGTTTGCCTTCTGTTTTTCTTCTGCTGCTCTTCCCAAGGGCTGGGATTTCTAATACTTCACCCATTCATCCAGGAATCGAGTACCTATCATGTGCAGGACCTAGGCTGGAGACTAAACAAAGCCCAATCCCTTCCCTCCAAAACTTCCAGGTGGGGAACTGGCAGAGCGCTTGCATGTGAGACACTGGGTTCGATCCTCAGCACCACATAAAAATAAATAAACAAAATAAAGATATTGTGTCCATGTATAACTAAAAAAAAGTTAAAAAGAAAAAAAAAAGTTCCAGGTAGGACATTGCTGTTCTAAATTGTCAAGTAGTCAGAAAGTTTTCTGGAAGTTTCCGAGGGGGGGAAAAAGTGTGTGTATACAGTTGTATATGAAAATTTGCTTCACTGATGTTTTACTAATTTTAAAAGGTTTAAGAACTAAAATACATAGGTATTCTTTTACCTATAAAAATAGAAACAGGTTCCCATAACTAGAGAAGTAATGACGGTCCTGAAGCCGCAGTAACAAGTAGCAGTAAGGACCTTATTCAATCTAGCAAGGCTAATAGCCTCAATGATCAAAGCCAGCCTGTCAAGGACAGCCAATCTCCAAGAGCTGAGTGTGGTACCTCTGAGAGTCAATAGCCTCATGGAAATAACCAACTCCTTGGTTGTTTGTATCAATCTCTACTTAATGCCTCTGAAAATGACTACTATCTAAACACCTCTTTGTCAAAAAAGAAAAAAAAAAGGTTTAAGATCAATAGTGTTCTGATTGGAGAGAATGTGCACAACCAGTCCAATTCTACTTTCCTACAGAAAGCAATAAATTGAGATTTATCATTCTTCAGATACTAATCTCTAGGGAAACAACTCTGTGGTGGCATCCCAGCAACCTGAGCATCTCCACTAAGTCCACATAGGCAAAGCCGAATAACTCCCAATGGCCTGATTCCTTCTGCAGTCAGGGAGAGAATCAGCCTGGTGTGGAGCCATCTTGGGGCAGTGACTCATCTCTGTCTTTAGGAGTCTGTCACAGGTCATTTCTCATCTATCTCCCTAGTTTCAGTTGAAGGCAGAACTCTTTGCCTTGTGTTCCCACCTTAGGATATAGTTAAATTTATGGTGTAAATCTACAAAACCATGTGGCAGTTGTTTAAAGTTGCTCCTCAACTGAGCAATAACCAAGATGAGACAAATGAGGTACCTAGGGGACAAAATTTAAGAGGACACTCACTCTCAGGTTTGTGCAACACTGGCCTTGGCCTGTTCCTCCACATAGAGCAATTCACCATTCCTGATATGTTAGTCTCTTTTTTTGGTGTCATGCTGTGGGATTGGGGATATAGGGAGCTAATAGCATGCTGATTTTTCTTTTGCTGTTTATGTTAATAATAAACTGTCTATATTCCTGTGGGCTCCTTACATGTTGAGTTCATTGGAAGTATGAAAATCTAACAGCAGGTGCCACTATGTTGCTGCTTAATGCTTGCTTGGTCATTGGTATGAATTGTTGTATTCTTAAATTAACTTCTCATTTAATGTCACAGTACCATGATATTTAATGGGATGCCATTCCTTTTGGCTGATGCACTTCCATATCATTTGAATGATACTGCGTTTCCTTGTTTCATTGCCTTTATGTTGCATTATATCCCCATTTCACAAAAATAGGCAAAGTGTTCAGAAGTAATTTATTAAAGCTTAAAAGAATAATAAAAGAATGTAAACACTACAACTTAGCATAATACCCAAAGGGTAAGCAGAGAACTGGATTCCAATGCAAATACAGAACCTCTGGATGCTGGATCATGCAAATCTTATTCGTAGTAAGAACAGAAATGGCTATGAAAGCTACTTTCACCTGCATTGATGATCCATTAACTCTGGAACCCAGAGTGTTATGTGTGAAACTTCATTTGATAGTGACATAAAGGCTTCAAAGCTGACTTCTCTGGTAAACCAATCAGGTTTTCCTGAATCAAACAAAATAATGCTTTCCTGACTCAGTGATAAAATCTCTCACACACTGTTTACCATGCCCTTTACTTTACTGTGAGATACAGATGCATACAAGGCCCAGGGGAGGACACAGCCACAGATAGAAGAAGCCTGACTTTCCAAATAGTTTGGGGAGGAAGGCTGTTCCCTGACAGCACCAGCATGGATTGTTACAGAACAATACCTAAATTTGGGTTTACTTGTGAAAGAAGTTTAAGCTGTCCTGAGACAACAAACAAAGAGCTGGGAGTTTGCACTTCCAGAACAAAGCTGGCTGACAATTGAGAAAATTTAAAAAAAAAAAAAAAAGTTGCTTACAGAAGTGTTTGAAAGAGAGATGGAATTGAAAAAAGAACTTCTTCACTATACCAATAATATTCATAATGACAACTTGCATCATTTCATTTGGCTCATTCAGGGTCAACTGTTGAGACTTGGGAGAGAGAGAGACAGAGAGAGAGACAGAGAGAGAGAGAGAGAGAGAGAGAGAATACGTGTAGTGTGTTCAGTATTCAGTGATGAAGATAAGCCACCAGGACACCTAAAAAAGACCTGCCTATTGATTATCTTCACTGGGTGAAATAAGGTAGAGCTCCATGATGCATTATTGAGCACATTTAAAGATCACACCCATATGCTGCATGTAATATTCAGCTTTCTGTTACTCTAACAAATACCTAAGTTACGCAATGCTAAAAGAGGACAGGTCTAGTTTGACTCTCAATATTGGAGGTTTCTGTATATGATTGGTTGTCCCATGGCTTTGGGGCCTGTGGTGATGCAAAATATCATGATGCAGAGCACGTGCTAATGCAAGTCGCTCACCTCATGTGGCTAGAAAGCATATATAGAATCAAAGACCAAATCAAATCCCCTTTGGGGCCATACCCTCAGTGACCTAAGACCTCCCACCTCTTAAAGGTATAAAAGCTGAGGGTATAGCTCAGTGGTAGAGCATTTGAGAAGCATGTACAAGGTCTTGTCTTCCATCCACCCCACTGCAAAAAATAATTAAAATAATAATTTTTAAAAGGTACCACTACCTCTGAATAGCACCAGACTGGGGACTGAGCCTTTAACATATGGATTTGGAGTCATGCATTTCAAACTGAAATGCATTTCAAAGAATGCATTCACTTCTGTCTTCCATGTTTCCACCACTGAATATTCAGTGAGCTTCACTTACCACCTCGGGTTTGCAGGTAGTTTTCCATGAGGTCATCTCTGATCTCTGTCAGCTTCTAAACTAAAAATCCTGCAGAAAATGTCCCTTTGCACAGCATGAGCAACTTTTTTTTTTTTTTAACCTGGGGGCACTTAACCACTGAGCCACATCTATGTCTCTTTTTACATTTAGAGACAAGGTCTTGCTGAATTGCTGAGGGCCTTGCTAAGTTGCTGAGGCTGGCTTTGAACTTGTGATCCTCCTGCCCCATCCTCCAGAGCCGCTGGGATTACAGGCAGACACCACTGCTCCCGGCAGCATGAGCAACTTCAGTGGCATCTCTAACATTTTCCTGTGTCCATTTTCATTTTGTGTCAAAAGAACCATTAAGCTAGAGTGCACAGATCTTTGTCACAATTTCCCACTATGTTATTTTACTGGAAAGAGAATATTTCATTTACTAGTGGTGATCCCTTTCACTTTTTCTGACAACTGACACTATTTAGAAAGAGGCAACAGAGACATCAGTTTAAGAGATGCCCCAGTTACTTAGCCTGACACTCCTTCTAAAACAGGAATGCTCCAACAATATTACTAGCACAAGATTACTGGCCCACCTCTGTGTGATTCCTTCCAGTGATTGTGAACCCAGTTCTCTGTGTGATAGACAGTTCTACTTGAATAATGGTTCTGTTCCTTGGGAACTTCCACTCCCTGATTCTTCTTTGGCTTTCAGGAATTATACATTAATTAATGTATAATTAATTAATTTCCCTTTAATAGTTGTATTTCATCAACTATTTCAAGATGCTAACAAGTCTATCCTAAGCTGTTCTTCTTAGGCTCTTTCTTACATGCTAAAATTTCTTGTATAATAAGGTATTTCCAGTTGGTTCAGGACACTAGCCCAATTTGTCAATGACCCTTTTTACTAACATCCATTCTCTGTGCACCTGTCACCAATCAGGTAGTATTCACAGTATTCCTGTTCCTTAAGTCTTGTTTTCTCTTTCATTAACCATAATGACATTTTTCCTTTTAAATTTAAAGCAGTGTGAGTTATTTTTTGTACTAGAGACTAAACCTCAGGGGCACTTAACCACTCAGCCACATTCCCAGCCCTTTTTAACATTTTATTTAGAGACAGGGTCTGGCAAAGTTGCTTAAGGTATCACTTGGTTGCTGAGGCTGGCTTTGAACTCATGATCCTCCTGCCTCAGGTATTACAGGCATGTGCCACTATGTTCAGCTGTGCTTTGTTTAAATAAAAAGATAATTACATTTTTATTGATATAAAATTCACATACCATGAAATTTTCCCTTTTAAATTCTACAATTGAGTGGTTTTTAGTATGTTAAGTAATGATCATCACTATCTAATTATAAAATGTTTTGATAACTCCAAAAAGAAATCCTAGACCCACAAATCAGTCATATACTATTCCCCTTTCTCCCTATCCCCAGGCAACCACAAATCTTCTCTAATAAAGGAATTGGTTTCTATGGATTTGCCTATTCTAGATATTTCATATAATTAGGATCACACTGTATAGGCTTTTGTGCCTGGCTATATTCTTTTATTTTATTTTAATTTTGAGACAGAGTCTTGCTAAGTTGCTGAGGTTGGCCCTGAACTTGCAGTCCTCCTGTCTCAGCCTCCAAGCTGCTTACAAGCTTGTGTCACTAAGCCCGTCCAGCCTGGCTATTTTCATTTAGCATAATGTTTTCAAGTGCTATCCATGTTGTAGCATGTATCAGTATTTCATTCTTTTTATGACTAAATTTTTTAAAAATATTTTTATTAGTTATTGATGGACCTTTATTTATTTATTTGTTTATATGTGATGCTGAGAATCGAACCCAGGGTCTCACACATGCTAGGCAAGCGCTCTACCCTGAGCCACAGCCCCAGCCCAAAGGAAAAGCATAAACTTTTTTTTTTTGGTACCCTTATTTATTTATTTGTACATGGTGCTGAGCATCGAACCCATTGCCTCAACACATGGTAAGCAAGTGCTCTACCACTGAGCCACGACTCCAGCCCCTGACTAAATATTTTATTGCACAAATAAACCACATTATTTTTATCCATTTACCAGTTGAAATATATTTGAGTGGTTACTATGAATGATCTTGCTACAAACATTTCATGTACAAGTGTTTGTGTGAACCATGTTTATAATTCTTTTAGATCTATGTATAGGAGTAGAATTGGTGGGTCATATAGTAACTATGTTTAACTTTTTGAGGAATTGCCAAATTGTTTTCTAAAGTGACTATCCCATTTCATATTGCCACTAGCAATGTAGGAGGTCTTCATTTTTTCCATGTCCTCACCAATATTTCTAATAAATCTCTTTTATTATTAGGTTAGTTGTTCCTAGATATGAGTTATATCATGTCTTTCTCTATCATCAAGAGTGGTCTTCTCCCTTTCTGGCTGAATACATATTTAAAATCTGCCTGGTTTATGGAAAACATTCAATAAAAACAGTCATATTATTAGCTATTATTAGAATTATGTTCATTCGAGAAGAATCAAATTAGATTGTCTTTCTTCCATGATTGAAAATTTCCATTTTCTTTGAATAACAAACAGAACACAAACATATATATGTGTGTGTGTGTGTGTGTGTGTGTGTGTAGACACACACACCCTTCATTGTAAAGGTCAAAGTAAAACAGTTTGACGTAAATCATATGTTCTAACAACTTTCCAGGTTTTTTTCCAGATTTCTTTCCACGTTTTCCCATAAAGTGATTTGTTTTGTGAAGATTGTGCTGATACAATATGGCTTTAAGAAATTCCAATGAAAATGGGAGGGGCAGAGACTAAAAATGGGAAAATGGTTGATTTTTGTAATGGGCAAAAAGATGATAAAAGATGCTGTAGACTGGTAGGTTTTATATAGATACTTTATGAAATATTGGAATAATTAAGGAACTTGTGATTATCAGAAGATATATAGTGTTCACTAAGAAAAAGTTATACCAAATTAGTTTTATATCCATTTTGAGAGGATTAACACATCAGATCAATGTTGCACTGAGATTTCTAAAGGGATTTCACAAATTTACATAAAGGAACCTCTGTGATATTTGCGTGTTATTTGAGGGACCACATTTTAGGAATAAATATTTGACCAATCACATTTTTATTGAGCAATTATTTATGTTAGGCACTGCTGATGCAATATGAAAAAAACCAGACATGGTACCTGCCTTTGCGTTTCTTACAAAATAGAATTTAGAGGACTGTTTGTTTGCCTATTTTCTTTGTGGTACTGGGGATTGAAGCCAAGGTCTACTCTCATGCTAGACAAGTACTCTACCACTGAGATAAACCCCATCCCTTTTTATAGTTTTAATTTTGAGATAGGCTTGCTAAGTTGCCCAGGCTGGTCTTAAACTCCTGGGCTCAAGTGATGTCCCATCCCAGCTTTTGGGGTAGCAGGGACCACAGGTGCTCACCACCATTTCTAGCAATGGGACAGGTTCTTAACTGATGGAGTGGTAAAGAGAAGCATGTTTTGAATACATACATCTGGCACTCACTCTGGGAAATTCTGATTCTGGGTGGACTCAGCAGTTCTTAAAAATTCCTCAAGGGCTGGGGGTGTTCTTTAAGCAACACGGTGTGTTTAGTTCACTTCACTTTAGTGATAAAGTGCTTACCTATCATGTGTGAGGCCTTGGACTGTTCTTGATACCATTCTGCCTTGAACTATATATTTTCCAAGCTAAGCAACCAATAATGTGAGAACAACTTTGTGTATAACAGCTCACATTAGAACATAATTAAATGAGGGAAACTGTCAAGGAAATTTCCTGCTGCTTTGTGCTTTATTCAAATTGGTACAGTTGGATTCTAGGGTTTGTGTCACTGAGACCCACGTTTAGAGAGCTGGATTTGTAATAGTATTAATGTTGTTTACAAATATTCTAGTTTTCTGCCCTTCTCATCCTTGGTAGAAGTGTACTTGCCTGCCTTGTTGAAGTAGGTAGCTCATGTGGCATTGCTGTGGCCAATGATTGTTTTTACCTCTGGCCTGGCTACTGACAATGTTTAAAATAGTGGTTATACAGTCAGCCCAGGTTCTTGAGTGACCACAATTGAGCAGTTACTCTGCAGTCCCAAGTAGTTCTGTAGCATGAGTAAGAAACACACCTGCGTTGCTTAAAGAAACTGAAATGAGTTACTGCAGTACTAGTCTGTGTCACTATCTGAAAGGATACAGGATTCTGGCATAAGTTTATGACAGTATGAAATTTAATGGTGACTAATGTAAACCCATTAACTACAGTTGAAAAGTTAAAATTGTACAGAGTAGCAGATCTGGTTCAGATATTAATGTGCATTTTTCTCTTTTCTAGTCTGAGAGTCTCCTTGGAATTACTGTGTTCATTGTTTCTGAGGGTGGACACAGTGTGTAGATGTTAAAGCAAGCAGCCACAGTCATTTCACCACCTTGAGGAAAGCTGGTCTTCATAAGTGGAAGCAGATGATTCTGAAGGCAGAGCAAAGAGGGAAAAAATATGGATCATGGATGATACCACTGAGTTGTTGGAGCAACCAACCCTGATTCCTATCATAACATTCCAGTGATAGAGGTCAATACATCACTTATTGTTTAGGCCAATTTGTGATGCATTTTGTGGAAGATACAAAGATATACTTCACAGATTCTCTTTCAAGGAAGCAGAATAATAGGCTGGTCCTTTTTGCCTGACAAGGAGGTTACACTCCCATGGGCAATACTTACACTAGGGCTCCCTCCCAAGATGCCTGCAGATTCTTTGGACCTGAATAACAGTTTAACTTCTTCCTCTGAATAATTCTACTTCCTCCCCATTTCCATATCATGATCTGCTGGAAAATCCAATCTCTGACAAGTTTTCTGCACATCAGGCAAAAGAATTCTGAGATTCCATGAGATACTTTGAACCCAGTTTTATCTAGAGGAAAGAAAATGCACTCACAATCTTTCTAATTTTAACTCTGTATTACGGAAATTTTCAAGCATATGCAATATATAGATTATAATTAAACAATGATATAATAAATAACAAATATTTATCATTTGTTACCCTCCCACATTATTTTAAAATAATCCCTAGACAATATATAATTCTTTTCATAAATACTATAGTGCATCAGTGTTTTCTTTGAAATGGAATGAAATGCCACTATTTTTCTCCATTCACCTCCCAATCTAACCCTTATTTATTGTCTCATCATTTCTTCCTTTCCCCACTACTACAGTTTTTTTTTAATGAAGTGTTTCAATAGGAAAAGGGTCAGGGGCAGTAATAGTAAGGAATGGAAGAGCCCGGAACTAATCATGGAATCCATTCATTCTTTGATTCACTAAGCAAACATTTTAGACTTACTGTTACTGGGGCCCAGGCCAGAGGCCTGAATCTGGGGTCCTGACTAACTGTACTTAAGTCACCAACCCACATCAGAAATAAGAGAAAGGTGATATAAAAATGAAAAACAAATTTCATGACCATTTGACCCAAACTGGGAAGGCAGCTAATCTGCCTTTGCCCATACTACAGGACTACAATTCATAGGAACCAACACCCAGGAAATACACATAGGTAGATTCAGCCAGGCTGTGTGATCAAGAAACATAATTCTAGATCTTTGACTTTTGTTGCATACTTCTGGCACCAGGCTGGGGTTTTGGGGGTCACTTTCAGCTCTCATTCTCAGCCTGAAATGATCACCCATAGGAAGCTAGGATAGAGAAAATAGCTTAACTAACAGGTTAGCAGGAAATGGTAATGACTGAGGAAAAAAAATTAGGGGGTTCTTTGAAAATTTCTAATTTTAAATGAGCCCCATTACATTATCATCTCCCAAAGTCTTAGGGACACTCAAGTTTTGTCAATATAGGTGGCTGTTCAGATAGGTGCCACAGTGCTGTCTTTCATCAGATCAACCAGAGGGAGTGGGGGGGGGGAGAAGAAGAAGAAGGAAAGAAAAGTAAAAAGGAAGGAAAAGAAACAAGAAATAAAGTTTAAAAGAGAGAATCCCTCACCACCTGCCATTAGAAGTAGTATCGTGCATTTTTTTTTCTACTGGACAGAACACTACAAAATTTGTCCAAGTAATTCCTTGAAAAGAATATTGAGGCCAAGATAGGTAAACTGACTTGCTTAAGGTCATAGGCTAGTTAATATTTATTTATTTTAAGGAATTGGTCACAAAATTGTGGAGGCTAGCAGTCCAAAATCTGAAGAGTAGGCAAACAAAGTGGACTCATAAGAGATGATCTTGCAACTTGAGTTCAAAGGCTGTTTGGAGGCAGAATTCCAATTTCCTCGGGGAACCTACCTTTTTTTTTTTTTTTAAGACCTTTAACTGATTGAATGAGGCCCACTCAAATTATGGAGGATTATCTGCTTTATTTAAAGTCTACTGACTAAAATGTTAGTCCCATCTAAAAAATAACTTTACAGAAACATCTAGAGTAATGTTTGATTAAATATTTGGGTACTGTGGCCTTGGCAAGTTCACATAAAAATCAACTATCACAGAAGACAGAGAATAAGACCTTCAGTATATGCAGATGAGGAGAAAAATAACTCAGTTCTTAATATGCTATTGCTTCCTTGCTATCTGGAAAAGGTGTGGTACCATGGATGAAGTTTGAATGCCATTGAAAGAATGGACTTTAGGAACTGTGACATTTTCAAGTCCTAATTTCCTTATTTAAAGACTGGATAATAAGCCGGTTGTGGTGGTGCACACCTGTAATCCCAGTGGCTTTGGAGGCTGAGGCAGGAGGATTGCAGTTTCAAAGCCAGCCTCAGCAAAAGCAAGGCGCTAAGCAACTCAGTTAGACTCTGTCTCTAAATAAAATACAAAATAGGGCTGGGGATGTGGCTCAGTGGTTGAGTGTTCCTGAGTTCAATCCCCAGTACCTGCCCTCAAAAAAAGACTAGATAATAAGAAACACAAGGTCACACAGTTTAGTCTCCAAGTCTGTTATACTCAAATAAACTTTTAGACCTATGTAAATTGTGCCTGCTTCAAACTCTTAAAAGCGTAGTGTGAATGATTTAAAATTTGATTAAAACATCAGATTTTCATTTAAAATTAGTTATGTTGATAGCAAAGGATGGGGAAACATCATTGGTTGAATGAAGAAACTAGGTGTAACATGGAACTGAATTATTTTTCCATTAAGAGGTCTGATTCCCTTATCAGACAGGAATATCCTCGAAGGCAAGGGATTAATTTATTCATTTTTGTATCCATAATGCCTGGCTGAATGCCTTATTTGAATAAATACATAAATGGAATTAGGAGGCTGAGATCCTAGAACTGACTACCACTGGCTAACTTTATGACTTTGGGCAAATTACTGAATTTGTATAATTCATAAATTTACTAAAAATACCACTAATGCATTTAATGATAGAATTGGAAGAAACTTCAAATTTTATCTGTTCCAAATATATTCTATGGGTCTATGGGATTTACTGGTTCATTTGGACCACAGACCCATTACCAGTTTTTTAATGATAATAGTAATAATTGCTATGAAGTTTTGTAATATTCCCTAAAGCAAAGGTTGAATAGTTAATTTTTTTCCAATTAAAAGAAGTTTAAATGAAATTTTTCCATGTAATTGGCAAGGCATTTGCAGTTTATGTTTACCTTCTAGAGCTCCTGGGATCAGTTACTTATTCCTGTGCAGTCAGTTAAAATTGCAGATAGAGATCACACATTACCAAACGCTTCTGGGTCAGTATGAGAAGTTTGCCAGGGGAGGGATGTCTTAGAAATAAACCCAGCAGTGCCCACACCAGAGCATTCTAAGGATCATCAGAATTGTGAGGCATCTGCTAGGTTACACTGGCCATCTCTCTCCTAGACTGGGGTTGTTTCTAATCCTTTGCACTTAAGAGCAATGACCTCAAAAGCTAATCTGCTTTTACCATACTAACACTTCGAGGCACATTTTGGAAAGGGGGAGAGGTGGTGAGCATTATAAAGCTCTACTTCCGATCCTAGCATTGTCATTAATAGTGTGACTTTCAGTTGCTTTTCTGGATCCAATTCTCCTTACCTGCAAAGGCAAGAGGTTGACTAAAAGAAGTCCTTTTTTTTTTTCCCCATAAATTTTTGTCCTAAGGATAAATTCTCAGTTCAACTGGCCTCGCGCGCGCGTGCGTGCGTGTGTGTGTTTTCTTTCCTTCTATAAGGAAATTTATTGAGTGCCTCCACTCCTCGAGAGCAGGGCCTGGGTTTTATTCATCTCTCCCTCAGTACCTATCACAGTGCTTTCAAGTAGGGTTAAAGTTGGTTACTATACACGAATTTATCTATGGAGATGTTCACAGTTCCAATGGGAAGGTACTAGGCAACATCAATTAATCACGGAATTAAAAACCGGTTTTCAACTTCCTGCCACTTATGTAATACAATAGCACAGAACCGAAAGAACGTTACCAGTTCATAGCTACGAGTGCTTTTAATATACTAGTGCTTTCATGTATCACCTCAAGTAATACACACAACAGTCCTAGGTTGCAGGCACGGGTTCTACGTTTCGCACAGGTGTAGAGGTGTTAAGTAACTTGTCCAGGTAACTAACACCGTTAGAAGTGAATCAGGTAGCACTTAATCGCAGACAGTGCAACCGAAGATCCCGGCTCCCCGGGTAGGAAAATGAGAAAACACACACACAAGAATAATCTTCGAATTTCTCGCAGAGGTCTGGCTGCTCTGTGGAAGACTGATGAATTCACGCAGGGGAAAGTGGCTAAGTCGCTGCAGAAGGCAGGCCATATAAGCTGCCAAACAAGTGCGAGTCGGGGGAGGCAGGGGAGAAAGAAGAAAAAAAGGAAGACGGAAAAAAAAGGAAAGATGAAAAAGTACTTCTCCGGGTTGGATCACACCGGCAGAGGGTAGGCAATCAGGAAAACAGAAATCTACAAGTAAGATCTGGCAAGCGCCGGGATCGCGCAAGAACCGAGGAACAGGTCGGAAGTGACGCTTACCAGCGGAATTGAGTGCCTAGCTAGACAGCGGGCCGGGGCGGAAGTTCTGCCGGATGTGACGTATCGGAAGTTACTCCTGGAGGAGACACCTGGTTGCAGAAGGCGACGTAATGGGCGGGGCGGGGCGTCTATGGTGTCTGGGAGCTATGGATCCCCTGCAGGTAACCTTCGGGCGGGAACTGAACCCGGGCGGAGGTGGGAACTGGGGTCGATGTCTTGGGTCGCTCCTGACCCTGGGCTTGGGCAGAGAGTTCTCACATTAGGTAGTGATTGCAGGAAGGCTCCTTGAAGAGACTCCCTGAATGGATGGGAATACAGAAAACTCTTTGGAACTGGATCGTGGGGTCGAGGTCTTTGACGGTCTTCTACTCTTCTAGGAATCGGTGGGTCCTGACCTAAGGTCGTGGTGGAGAGATGGAGTCTGGGCACTGAGATGAGCTAACGTAGGGCTCACTTATCACCTACCCCGACCCGTTATGGAAGTAGGGGACAAGGACTTCTTTTCGTCTCTGAATTCGTAGGACAGTGCCTTGCCAGTTGTAGGTGTCCATAGACGCTATCAGAGGAATAAATTAATTACTGGATTAAAGAACCCGATTCTGGTTTAGCGGGACAACTTCTACCATACCTCAGTATCCCTACCTCTGAATGTAGACATGATTCCAGTTTTCTTACTAACCGGTAATTTGTGAGTATGCTGGTGTAAGAGACATACAGGACATTGTTATTTTGTTTTGTTAGAATTAGGGAAATTTACACATGTGCATTAATACTTTTCTCCGAGTGGAGAGGATAAGGCAACTATTTAGCTTCCTTCGGGTTTCTTTACTTTTCTGGAAGGACTTTTCAGAAATTGATCCCAGGGAGGTCATAAAATGATAAGCTACAGTTGGATCACTGAACTGCTAATGGGTATCTTAAGTGCTTTCTTTTCATCAATATAAGCTAATTTCCTTTTTGTTAATATTTTCTGAAGTTGGGGTACTAGATGTAAATGAGAATTATTTTTATAACTAAAATGGAAATAGGAACTTATAAAAATCCAAAGGTTTCACCAGGTGTATACACATAAGAAACAGTTGTAGGAGGTCCCAGAAGAATGAATCCCTGAAGATTATTTTCCTTGTAAAAAGTGCCTTCAGTGTCATGAAGAGAAGCATGTACCTGAAAATCAAGTACTGTAACCAGATTTTTGTTGTTGTTAAATAGAATAAAATGCAGATGACACACAGGCTAGATGATGAGATCTGGGCATGAATCACTGTCTAGCTGCAGTCCCAGTGAGGTGTTTGTGTGTATGGAATAGCTAGTGAAATGTAGCTCTTGAGAAGTTCCAGAATCCTATAATTAGATTGGTGAGAATTGTGTAGAAACCCAGAATTTATGCCGTATTGTTGATTGTTTGTGTTGTATGTGTATGTAGTTTGCTTTTGTACTTTTTACAAAAAAAGAATTAGCATTTTTAGATTTGAAACCTAAGATGTTCTTAAAATAGGTTAAAAACCCCCAAAGTAGACATGTAACTACATAATTACTATAATTAAATTTTACAAGTTTTTCTATCTTTAAATCTTTTTCTGATTTCTCAAAGGGTTGGTATGGAAATCATCCCCATCTTTGAAGGCTGTTACTGTGGTGCCTTGTTTACAATACATATAAATGTGATGTATAGCAGTGTTTTGAGATCCTCTAAGTTAAGTTAATATTGTCTTAGTCTAATTTTGCCACCTCAATTTGCTGTTCAATGTTATGTCCACTAAACTTTCCACATCTGAGTGTTTAGTAGTATAACTATTATTCATGATGGATTGGCATCCAAGTAGTAACTTAGGTATGTGCATTGACATTCTTGAGGTTTTCAGTTTTTACAGAGCACTGATATCTATGGACTCTAACATGGACTTCATTTAAAGAAACCCACGGACCATTAATGGACAAAAACATGAATCAATTTGTATTGTGGCATTCAAATCCTAGCACTTTGGGAGAGGTAAGTTATTGACTGTGATATATGTTAGGTGAGATAGTAGAGTAGCCCTGGATGGGCCAAGGAAATTTCAGGATTGTAATTAAAAAATATAGACCTGAATACCTATGTTTTTTAGTCAGCACCTTCCCAAGAGAGGTTTGTTTTGTATGTATGAGGCAATTACTATATCTTTGTCAAGTTGATCAGAAATTAAAGAGATTGACCAACTATGTTGTATCTGGAAGATTATTTCTCTGCTTTCTTTTATGGGGGAAGTGGGATCTCCTTTCAACACTTTAGAGCCTGGTAGAAATAAATAAATTTGCAGGCACCCTGTATAAATTAAGCCTCAGTCATTTAAATCATGTTGCTTCCAAGTTCAGCTATCTAACAGTATATGTCTCAAATCTGCTGATCAGTTGTGCCTTAAGTTTAAGTAACAGGTCCAAAAAATGTCTTTTTTTGTTGTTGTTTATCTTGCTTTATTTATGCTATTTTCTTTTCATTTGTTTCTCCTTTGTCTTTTTCTCTCTCATGATTCATTCTCCCAGCCTTTAAAGCTTCACCTTTTTCTACTTTATGTCCTATAATTCATTAGTTTGTTTATTTTCAAAACCTTAAATTCTAACTTTGTGTGATAATAATTGGCACCTTAATCACTAAGCATTTAACTTGTAGTTTTTCTGGCCTCCTTTGTAGGTATTCTGGCTTCTTGTTTAGAATTTGTCATTCTAATAGCAGGTATTACTTCTCTTAGGGATTCATGTTCATGTGTATTTGTACTTGGACATAAAAATTCCAAAGATATTAATCACCATATTGTTTGAAATTAAAAAGCAAAATAAAACTAGAAATAATATAGACATGCTTCAACAGATGTCTGGTTAAATAAATGCTTTCACACAGTATTGTAATTTACAGCTATTAGGAAGAATGAAGTGGATCCAGATATGCAGATATGGAAAATTCTAAGACACATTGTTAAGTGAGAAAAAAATATATATATATAGGCTGGGTGGGGCCGAGGCAGGAGGATTACAAATTTGAGATCATCCTCAGCAATTTAGTGAGACCCTCAGCAACTTAGCAAGATCCTGTCTGAAAATATAAAGGACTGAGGCTGTAGCTAAGTGGCAAAGAGGCCCTGGGCTCAATCCCTAGTACCATAAATAAATAAATAAATAAATAAATAAATAATAGATAAAAGGAAGCTGTATGTTTAGTATGTTTCTATTTGTGTTTTATTTTTATTTTGAGACAGGGTTATGGTAAGGCTGAGGATGGCCTCAAACTTGTGATCCTCCTGCCTTAACCTCCCCAGTCACTAGGATTACATGCATGTTCTGCCACCCCACTTGGCTTTCATTTGTGTTTTAAAGAAGCATTTATTTTAAGCCAGGCATGTAATTCTAACTTCTTGAGAGGCTGAGGCAGGAAGATCCCAAGTTTGATGCAGCCTGGGCAACTTAGCAAGACTCTGTCAAAAGAAAAAAAAAAGCATATAGAAAATCTCTTCAAATATATATAAGGAGTTATAAATAGAATTCCTGGAGAAATGAGATGAGCAGTCTAGAATAGGAAGAAGACTAACATTTTTTTAATGTATGCTTTTTTTCTGGTGGATTAAATTCTTTACTCGAGCATATTCTTATTTTAATGAGATTCAGAAACAAGCAGCAAGGCCTTGGGATAATTTAATAAATGTGAGAGCCTATTACTATTCTGTATGACTTTCTGTTCTTATAATTATTTGCACTATTTAAAAGGAGAAGGATTATATGGTGCATTAAGGTTTTTTAGAGCTGCAAGGAAGATTTGGTGATATTATAATAGGTTTTAAACCTTGACATTAGAGTTTACTATTAATGAAAACTTACAGAATACTGAGTACTTAGTTGCTGCTGAATTCAATATTCCTGTACAGTATATAGCATGTCGATAACCTGATCAAGTGATGTGGTAGTTGTTTGCAAGCTACCTTTGTATTGCTTTGGCATGGTTCTTCTGAGCTTCTCGGTTTTGCCGAATGGAGTGGACTTTGTTTTATTTGAATTGCTCTTTACATACTCTATTTTTTTTTTTTTTAAACTGGGGAAGAGGCTAGGAATTAAACACAGGGCCTTGCACATGCTAGGTGGGTGCTCTACTACTAAGCTATATCCCCAGCCCCTGGATTCCCAATTGTTTAAACAAGTCTTACAGTTATTAGTTCACTTTGTTCTTGATGCTTAGAAATGGTAAGGGATTCCAAAAAATGGATTGTTCTCAGTTAGTAAAACCAGAAAGACAATTTGGATATACATGCATAATCTCATTTGATTTTACTTTGATTTGGCTGATTATTTGCCCTGGACTCAGCAGAAATGTCTGGTGACTTTTACTCCTCTAGGCACCTTTCTTACAAACCTTTATTGTGAGACATTTTGTAATAACAGTAATGGGTGATAAAATTAACTATATAAAAATAAAAAATCTTCATTTCATTAGTAAAGGGATTTTATTCAAAAGTCAGTTGAAATGGGTTACATACCTATATGATACCACTGATTTTTTTTAATCTTGTTCAAATCATGATGAAGGTCACTAATCTAGGGACTGAGCCATGATGAACAGAACAGGTTATGATATGTCAGGTATTTATTTATATTTGTGGATCTGGAGATAAAACCCAGAGCCTTGTTTATGTTAAGCAATTACTCTGCCACTGAGCTAAATCTCCATCCCTGGCTATTATATTATTTGTTTTTTAAAATACCTTCATTTTATTTATTTATTTTTATGTGGTACTGAGGATCAAACCCAGTGCTCTACCACTGAACTACAACCCAGACCATATATATATATATATATATATAATTTTTTTAATGGGGTTTTACTTTATTCCCCAGGCTGGTCTTAAAGACCTGGGCTCAAGCAATTCTCCTGTCTTAGCCTACTGAGGAGATGGGACTACAGGTGTGCATATTTTATACCATACTTTCGAGAATTTTGGGTATAGTCATCTCTGTTAAATGATGCTTTGTTTCTGAAAATCCTTGGAACTAATCACTGTGGTCACAAAGGAAAAAAAATCACTGATGATAGATTGTGGTGAAGGTGACATAGAAAAGAAAGAGATGAACA